TTTTATCTTTATAGCAATTTGACTGATACATAGATAAATGATGAGGATTGTAATTTTTAATCATAAGGGCAGACTGGTTCTTTCTTTATTTTTTTTTAATTCTTAATTTTCAGAACGCCAGGTGTCACGGTTACATCCACACATTCACATATATTATACATTGACAACATAAGCCTTTAACATTAAAGCAGCACTGTCATGACGAACTTACATTTCACCAATTGCTTCCTCTTCTCTCCCTCTCTCAGTATATCACTCTTTGTTTTCCTATCTGCTCTAGTTTTCTTTAAAACATAAGACATAGCCTGTGGCTGCTCACTGTTGTAAACAAATAAAAAATATAAAAGCCTCCCCTCCCCTTGCATTAATGACCCCATGAGCGGCGGGTGGGGGCCCTAAATGACAATGGGGGAGACATATTGTCCTCCCCACTGGCCCCCACCCATGAGTGGCAGGTGGAGGCCCTAAATGACAATGGGGGGGGGACCCATTCTCCCCCTGGCCCTCCCACCCATGAGCGGCGGGTTGGGGTCCTAAAAGACAATGGGGGGGCGCTATTGTTTCCTCCAAGATTTCAGACATCTCAGACATCAGAGTCTCTCAAGGTGTGAATAAACACATTTTTTTGTAATTTGTTTTGTAACCGTGAGTACCAATATTTTTTTGATATATTAAAAACAGGAAGAAATGCTGACAGTATTTAAAACATGTATGCCAAAAAAATGCTGAATACATTAAATTGCACTGACCTAAATCTGTCTAAAAAAAAAAAAAAAAGTAAAATACATCTCTGTAAATTTACACAGCGGAGCAACATTTAACGGGGTTCACTAAGAATCATAACCACTAAAACTCCGTTATATAGGTGCATAGAATCTCTGGGTACCAGCCTAAAGTGTTTTGAAGATAAAAAAAAAAAGAAACAGGGCTCTCGGCTATGGCTTTGCAATTGTGAGCATTTCCAAGGGCTAGTCTTCAGGAGCCAGGTAAACATGGATGTTGTCAAACCACTCAAAAACAAGTATTCACTAATCAGTAAAGACAATGCCAGTGGATTCTATACATCATAACGACAATAGACTGCAGTGCTTATAGTGCCCCTTTAAGTAGTCTGGGTGACTTTAACTGATTCTTTTTCGGGTCATATTCACTGTAAGTGATATTGGAGTTATAGGCCAATAACTCCAATATCACTTACAGTGAATATGACCCGAAAAAGAATCAGTTAAAGTCACCCAGACTACTTAAAGGGACACTCCAGTGCCAGGAAAAAAAATAAATTTTCCTGGCACTGCAGGTCCCCTCTCCCTCCCACCTCCCATCCCTGGTTGCCGAAGGGGTGAAAACCCCTTCAGTCACTTACCTGAGACCCCCACCGTTGTCCCTCGGCGGTGGTTTTGGGTCGCCGCCGCGCCTCCCCTTCCTTACGTCAGCCAGTGGGTGCGACTGATCCCGCCCACCGGGCAATGCCGCGCATGTGCATTAGAGCTCTCGATAGGAAAGCATTGAAAATGCTTTTCAATGCTTTCCTATGGGGAATTGAGCAACACTGGAGGTCCTCACACAGCCTGAGGACGTCCAGCGACGCTCTAGCAAAACCTGTGCTATAGACACGGAAATGCCCTTTAGTGGCTGTCTAGCAGACAGCCACTAGAGGAGGAGTTAACCCTGCAAGGTAGTTATTGCAGTTTATAAAAAAAAACTGCAATAATTACACTTGCAGGGTAGTGGGAGTTAGCACTCAGACCACTCCAATGGGCAGAAGTGGTCTGGGTGCCTGGAGTATCCCTGTAATCTCAATGAAGCGGTCTGGGTGCAGAGATCCTATACTTTTAACCCTTTTTATATAAAATATTGCCATTTTGTAAAAGAAAGCAATGTTTAAATTACAGGCCCATCTGTGTCCAGAACAGTTAAAATTGTCCTTCAATCAAATACTGCTGGCAGCAGCATTTGATTAAAGTAACAGCATTTTCCCGTGCATGAGCTATCCAATCCAATGCTTCTCTATGAGAACTTTTTGTACTGGACAAAATCACCGGTGAAATCAGCATCCTTGCTGACATCACCAGAGGCAAAGCTGAAGGTGTCCTTGGTGTTGAAAATGAGGTGAGTAATATTTAATTTTTTTGTACATTGCAAAGGACAATGCACGCATTGCAAGAAATAATGTTTGCCATTTACAGGACTATAGGTTCCCTTCCTTCTTTTACCTGAACACAATTTTGATTTAGAGCATAGATTTCAAGGATATTTTTGGCATCTGTGGACAAAAGGTATGTGATTTCTCTCTTTTGGAGGTCAGGATCACCCATACCTAAAAGATTTCTGTTTTGAATATACATAAAGATAAACACAGAGACTGCACATTTGCACTCTGCCTATTTTCCGAGTCCCAGAATTTCTGTTCCATGGGACGAATGTATTTGGACTTGAGTACCCCTTGACTGAATCCTGTATGCTGCATTGCAATCATGACTAATTTTCCATTTGGACTACTAAGCCAGATATATCCTCCAACGATCTGAGAATATAAAATGGCGTCCAACAACTTGATATCCCAAATCTTGCATGCTAAGGATAATGTGTAAACGTAATTGAAAACAAGCAGATTTATGGCCTATTTCTGTACTGAGTATGGTATAAATATTGCATGGCAGGCCAGTTCTAATATACCTATATGTACAAAGGGACACACTGCTATAAGTGAAAATAAAGCACCATTTGTCTTATTATGAGTCTTCAAAATAAAAAAAAATTAGCACGGTACGGATATTTTAAAACTTTAATCAGCTTAATAGGATAAACAGACTTTTAAATAGTTAATAATAACTAAGTTATTACTTTCCACATGAATAAAAAATAAATAAATGTGTACATTCAAACACAACACAATATATCAGTAAGAGCAATGTGTTGTGTGCCCCAGGAGCTTTTAACAATACAATGTTAAATACAACACAAAACATTTGAGGGTATTTTCTTGAAAACATGATTTGTGGAGATGAACACTTTTTAAGTATGAAACTTAAATATTTGTCTTATATAAGGTGAAAAGCAAGTGAACTGATTACCTTAAAATCGGTTACTATCTGTGATAGCAGTGTTTCCTAAACCAGTCCTCGTGGCCCAACATCAGTCAAGGTTTTGCCAGTATCTCCATTGGAATAAAAAAATGGAAATACATGAATCCTGGATTGTTGGTGGGCCAAGAGGAATGGTTTGGGAATACAAATGCTGTGCTTTGGCTTCCTTTTGGACAACGGAGAAAACAAGGTGGCAGAAGGATGCAAGAATTCATTAAGGTGTCCGTAGTATCTGCTGAAGCATTATTCACAATTATACGCTCCAGACTCCAAAAGCAGCTATATGTGTGTACACTGTGTCCTCTCTTCCTCATTTTCCAAATATTGCTGATTTCAATAGAAATTAGCACTTTTATGAATAAACATTGTTACACCCCCTTGAGTGTCAATCAGACAGCTAGTCATATCACAACCAGATTTGGTTAACTCAGAGCACCTGCTTGAGCTGTATTGGGATTTCTCTGATTGGACAGCCACAGAAAGTATGGGCAGGGTTGGAAGGTAAAGGCTTGCAAATGCAGCAGACACGAGATCTGCAGCTTTTGCAAGTTGTTTTTAGACATACCCCAATACAAATCATGCATAATTAAATAAATGCATGATTTAATTGGAGGTGTAGCTACCAAAGAGGGACTTTTATTTATGTATTTGGGCAGTGGAGTGTCCCTTTAATAAGAGGTGATGGCACGTAATAAGAATAAATCAAAGTAGCATTCTTTAATTACAACAGAAGAGAAAGAACTTGACAAGTGACTATAACTTACATGGCAAATATCTGTATATACTTTAAAGCAGGGCTTGGCAAATTTGTTTGGAATCTAGGAGCCAGTGTTTTAAAAAAACTAGCGAAGTTTAATTTACGAGAAATATAAAATTCTTAAATGGACACTATAGTCACCAGAACCACTACAGCTTAATGTAGTTGTACTGGTGCCTGTAGCCTGTCCCTGTAGCCTTTTCAATGTAAACACTGCATTTTCAGAGAAAAGGCAGTGTTTACATTGCTGCTTAGTAACACTTCTAGTGGCAGTCACTCAGACGCCACTAGAGAGTCCTGTGTCAGTGTCACCTTTGTTCAGCATCTCCACGCTCTGCATGGAGGTGCTGAATGTTACATATAGAAAACATGCGCAATATCCTCCTAATGCTTTCCTATAGGTTTAGCGAAGATCTTAAAGATTGATTATCTCACCCATATATCCCGGCTTCCGGCTCCTGGCATCATTAAACAGCGCGAGGAAGCAGAGGGGAGCCGCTTGAAGATCACTGCTCCCTCACCCGCTGCCCCAGCCGATCGCAGTGATGCTCCACAGGGCGGCTGCCTGCACGCTGCCCTGGGCGGACACCTCCACAATCCCCAGGGCGGCCGCCCTCTGCGATCCTACGGGTGGCTGTCTGCACGCTCCCTGAGCCGGCCGGCTCCATTGTTCCCCCATCCTCCATCTGGCTAAAGGGCTTTAAATCCCAGGCGCTAGGGCAAAATTTCTAGTCGAAATGGCAACCTGGCGCCTGGGATTTGTTGAGCCCTGCTTTAAAGGAACACTATAGTCACAGGAACCAGTACAGCTTAATGTATTCGTTCTGGGGTATAGACCCTGTGCCTTCAGACTGAGCATTGTAAACACTGCCTTTTTAGAGAAAACTGCTTTTGCTGTTTTTAGATATACCATTAATTAATACATGCATGTTTTAATTGTGGATATATCTACTAAACAGCATTTTGTTTTGTTTTTATTATTAGGGCAGTGGAGTGTCCCTTTAACTGTTAATACATCATATTAGCGTACATGAATACATGAAAGCCACCTTCTATTATCAACAAAAACACTGTAAAAGTGTTTGGCATTTAAAATATATTCGCATTATATATATATCTGCTAGTGATGTCGCGAACCGTTCGCGGCGAACTCCGGTCAACTGACACATCCCTGCCAATCTCCGGCAGACCCTCCCTCCCAGACCCTCCCACCTCCTGGACAGCATCCATGTTGAAGCTGCCTTCAACATGGATGCTGTCCAGGAAGTAGGAGGGTCTGGGAGGGAGGGTCTGCCGGAGATTGGCAGGGATGTGTCAGCTGACCGGAGTTCGCCGCGAACCGCAGCGAACGGTTCGCGGCAAGTTCGCAAACAGTTCGCGACATCACTAATATCTGCTGAATTATTACCTAGGAGATCCACCTTTTAGTACTTACAGCCTTAAAGGCTTAAATGTATACTGTTAAATGTAAATAAGCTTGTTTTATTTAAGGATATCCTTAAAGGATTGTTTATGTAAGTTTGTTTTTTTGGTTGGGATTTCAAAGTGCTGTCAGATTATTGCTTTGCAATGCAATCTAACTAATCAAGTGCATCCTTCAAAAAACAGAAACTACATTGAAGGCAATTAACAGAATCATCACTCAATGGAAAAGGGATGTTTGAGGGGTATTCTAGCCAAGACATGATCAAGAGAACTTTCTTTTTTCCCTCTTCCTGTTCCCAATACACCTAATGAGATTTAAGGACACATGCACTTTCATTGACCTTTTTTGAAGACTTTGATGTACTTTAGCAAGTGAATAGTTTGGAAGTCTTTTTATAACAGTCAAAAACAGTTGGATTTTCCCCCCACTGGTTTTGCACTTTTACTCATGTTTTAAATGAACATTCCAGTGCACTGTAATGGTTATGGTGCCATGACTAATGTGGCGCCCCACCCACCAATATAAGCAGTCAAGCGTGAAACTTCTGTTAGCTCTCCTTAGCCAAGTCATGGTGCACAGCCAAAAAGCTAAGCTCTGCACCACCAGGCTTAGCAAAATAAGAGAGCTTCTGACGATCATTGAGCAGGTGACTGCAGGTGCCTGGTGGATCCCAGATAAATGTTTTCAGACTGTGTCTAAACATTTATATAGGAAAATAAAGAAAAATATCTATCATTAAAGGATCTACTTAACCCTTGTTCATATATATATATAAAAAAGATAGTGACAGCTCTGCTTCAATACCTATATAAATATACATATTTCAGGGTTTCCACTCAATCAGCAAGCTAAAGTGACAAAATCAGTAATGTAAGCGGTTGGATATCTTATTTTGTTCCTGGCTTCCTAATGTGATAAACAACCAATGGACTAAAGACAGAAGCTTAAACATTATAGAGTAAAAGGTAAAATTGCCGAAATTACTCTAGTTACAAGATTGGAGTATAAAAACCTAAAAGCATTTTATTTTAAGGACCATGTTTCTCCATTTGTGCTTTGAAAAATAGAGCCATTTTGCTTTTAGTTCATATTAATTACATTTAGCCTAGCTGGATTTTTGACTTCTTAATAGTCCCACCCTGTCCTTGGCTGATCAACATCTCCTCCTACTTCATGGACCATGATGTACCTCTCCTTCTGGACCACCCTGACCTTGTCCACTTCACTTTGGCACTGACTGATTAACAAATCCATGATATTGCAGGGGTGGCTTGTAATTCACTCAATCTTATCTCAAATGATTAAGCTTCAGAAAGTTTCAAAAGGATATTTTCAGCTGACAGAAACCTGACTTCTAAAAGAATATATGGTTAATCACTAACTTGAGAATTCAAAGTGAATTTCACATTTAAAGAACTGGGAAAGTCAGTTATGCTTTCAGTTTGGCTACTCTGGACTTAAATTGGAAGCTCACTTTTATTTCTCACTTTAGTAAATAACCCTGATAGAATTAAGTTACTAATAGCAAAAAGATAGCATAAAATACTTTAGAAGCATTATAGATGTTCAGTCAGCACCTAAAACTAAAGGCCACTCTTACTGCCCTTGCTAAACAACACTATTGCACAAACCTAACATATGCTGACCTTACTGGCCATTTTGGGTACCTTAACTAAATGCCACCAATACTGCCTTAGCTTAAGTAAATACCAACTTTTATGCCCTAACCCAGCCTCATGCTGACCTTATGGCACCAAACATAATTAAATGCTGACCTTACTGTCCTTAAACTAATTAAATGCTGACCTTTTCCTAACCCAACTAAATGCCAATATTACTGCTCTAACCTGAGTAAATACCAATGTTGCTGCCTTAAGCCAACTATATGATGACCTCCATACCTTAACTTAAATCCCCTTACTGTGCTATCCTAACTAAATGCTGACCTAACTTTCTGAAAGAGAGACAATGCAAATAGACACTCCTTTCATGGTCTGACAAAAAGTGTCAAGAAGAACAAGGAACAGGACTCCAACAGTCCAACAGATTTCCCAGTCCTTACAGCATTATTGTGCCAATTCCAAAAATGGTAGGCATTATATTAATCGTACTCAAGCTAACACCATATCCCTTGGCTGCTGGTAATGTTGCCCATACAATCAATGGCACTATGGCATAGAAAAACAGCACTCCTATTGGGAGCCAAAAGGCAAGTTAAAAGCAAATCAATCTTTATTTGTACTAGATGGACAGAAACACATACCTTAGTATACCGTGTGTGAATACACTCAGGATGTAAGAGGAATTCACTGCAAAGCATTAAATGCTCTTGTTAGTGCCCAGACAGCAAAGAATGGCATAGTGAAGACACAAATGAAAAGCGAATTAGGAACCACAGATGAGGATGTGAAGGAAATCAAAGAATAAAAGCAATCAAAGTAATGAGAATTGCAAACTCTTCCTTAAGTGCAACTATGATTATTGAAACGCTATGTTTTCAGCTATGTTCTACAACTCCCATAAGTAAGCCTGTTGCAGCCACTTGATTTTTTTTTTTTATTGATTTTTTTTAGCAAGCAACGGTTCATGGGAATTGTAGTTTGCTAATAGCTGAAGTCCAGTCTTTGCCAGCCCCTAAATCTATGGGTATTGCAAGTAAATAAAGTATCTGTCCAACCAGTTGCTTTTCCTCTGACAGACCATTATACTTTCTATGGTAAACCAAAGCCCTGAATACACAAAAGGTTAAAAGTATAGCAAGAAATAAGTTTACATATCAGTGCCATCAATCTGTCCTTAATAAAGATTCTTTAAAACAACCTGGAACATTGTTCTATTAAGTATTGTTTCATCTAGGCTCCAAAAGGAGTAGAATAGGCCCATTCCAGTACCTTACTAAGAAGGCATTCTGGTTAACAGGGTTAAAGGACCACTATAGGCACCCAGACCACTTCAGCTCAATGAAGTGGTCTGAGTGCCAGGTCCCCCTAGTTTTAACCCTGCAGCTGAAAACATAGCAGTTTCAGAGAAACAGCTATGTTTACATTGATGGTTAATCCAGCCTCTAGTTGCTGTCTTCCTGACAGCCACTAGAGGCGCTTCCGTGAGTCTCAGTGTGAAAATCACAGTGAGATGACGCTGGACATCCATAGGAAAGCATTGAGTAATGCTTTCCTATGGGCGGTTTGAATGCGTGCACAGCTCTTGCCACGCATGCGCATTCAGAGCTGACAGGAGGGGGAGGAGAGGTCACCAGAGCAGAGTGAGCCCGGCGCTGGATTAAGGCAAGAGGCTGAAGGGGATTTAACCCCTTCAGCCCAGTGGGAGGGGGGACACCTAATAACCCTATACTGCCAGAAAAATGAGTTTTTTTTCCTGGCACTATGGTGCTCCTTTACGTGTGCAAAAATAATGCACACATAGATACAGACACATGCACATGTCACAAAAAAGATCCAGCTAAATAAATGTATTAAGGAACACTCTAGTGTTAGGAATGCAATTTAGTATTTTTGCTATTCCTAACACTATAGTGTCCCTCTGCCTCCAATCCCCCCATTCATAAAACGGTTGAAAACCCCTATTTTCCCCCACACTTACCTGATTCCAACGCCACGACCCTCGGAGCAGACTTGATCTCCTCCTCCCGTGCCATAATACTAATATATAATAGTAAAAATAATAATATAATAGACAGACAGGGGCATCGACACAGAATGGGGCGGTTTTGTCAATAATATTCCTCTAGAAATATGTTTTGGCTGGGCAGACCATAGTGTGTTGTAAATTCCCAGAATTCATCCAGTGCAACATTTCCTCTGTTGCTTATTACATACATTAATTTTGGTGAAATTATACCCGCTTACATTAATGATAAGACTCAATTGCTTAGGTTAGACATTTGATATATGCCAGCTGTGCATCCAGTAACCTACAATAACACTCACTATTTAGCCTTAACATTTCCACTTTCCTTAAATTATATTCATATCATTGTCTCTTCCTATTGTATTTTAATTACCCAGCTCCTCCACATTGTAAGACCTTTCGAGCAGGGTCTTCATCAACCTATTGTCCCTTTCACATTTTTTTAATCCTCATTATAATATGGTAAAGCACTACGGGATATGCTGGCGCTATATAAATGATAATAATAATAATAATAATAATAATAATAATAATAATAATAATAATAATAATAATAATAATATTTTACTGAAACATGCAGTACATTTAATTCAATTATCCCAAGAATATATGGATACTACATCTTACCCTAAAAATAAAGCAATGTCACCGATGCTTCAAAACCATGACTAGTATTCTTTATTCAGGTTTCCACCGATCTAGACTACAGGCCAGTGGCTGTTTATTGCACAGTAGAGTTTAAGTACTAGGTGGTAACGATTTCTTACATGCTCCTGGGAAGTATAATTGTTAAGGAAGAGCTAACCCTTAACACTTCAGATCCACTTAAGCGATGAACTCAGACTTATGAAAATCTGACTCATGTTGAATATTCAATAGTTTCAATTCAATGAGTGTCATACTGTTGAACACACACACGGTTCCCAAAGCAGGCCCCCTACCAAGTTCAATTAATTACAGACACCTATATTTTAGCTAATATGAAGGGCATTGGCCTTCATTAGATGATAGAAGCCACCATACAATGTGCACCACTTATTTAGTGAATAACTGTGATAGAACATTCGTCCACATACCAATTCTCAGTGATTACCAAACGTTCCATTTTTATCAATAAAGTCATTAGATTATAACGATGGCCCCAAGTTCCATGACCTTTGGTTGTCCTTGAAATCCAGTTTCAGAATCACTCTGCTAGAGCCTGTTACCATATATACTATGTATGTGCAGCATAAAGTAAACTAGGCATT